ACACAAACCTCAGCAAAAAAAATACACATATATTATATACCACACACCATCGTACAGCACAAATTCGTATCGAACAGACAATTTCAACTCAGCAACAGTAAAATACTTCTTAATTTATTAAAGTCTTAAAAGAAAAAAAAATTAATTATAAAGAATAATGGTAACAGTAATAACGATAATCAATGCGGCAATAATAATTATAATAGCAATCATATAAAAATTTTAGCCTATTGTAGCAAACATCCTGAGAAACTGATAAAAACTCTTCAAAATTGGTTTTCTACAAATTATTACACATCACTATGCTTTAACTTCTTTTTGTTTTTTTTTTCTTTAATCTTATTTTTCAAGACTATCCACTGGCATAAACCGATTACACCGATATTTGTAAGTGACTTTAGTCTTTCCGTGTCCTTATTAATTCAGCCTAACATACCGTAACTAATAATGACAATTTTACAAAAACCTGGAAAAAAAAACTTGAACACGACAAAGAAAAAAATTTGTTGCATTATTTGAAATAATAGCAAATAAAAAAAGAAAAACATATTTTCCATTCAAAAACTACTGCCATCCTTTTCTCAAAGAAAAAAAAAACGATCCGTAGAGACGCAAAAAAAAGCTGTATTGGTCAACTAATTGTTGTCATAAATATAGAGCAAAATCTGAATCTATAAAGAGGAAAAAAAACGCTTAAGTTCAGCCAGTTGTTTCTGAGATCGAATAATATTAAGCAAAAGTAAAGAAAAAAAAAAGGAAAAATACACAAGAGAAGAGATTCTGAAATAATTAAGTCGCGCACAGAAATTTGTTCCATCTTTTCTTCTCCTCTGAACAATAACTGTCCTCAAATTTTTTTTCCTTTTTGACTTTATTTCCATTTTCGTTCAATTCTTTTTTCCCTTTTCTATTTTCTGACAAAAAAAAAACAAGTCATAGAATTTTTACAATTAAGAGACTATTGTTTTTTCACTTTTCACTCATTTATGTTTTCCAACTACAAAAACAACAACACTATTTTCGTTTGCCCGTGAAATTTCTTATTGACTGTTCAATAAGCTGCCGATGAGCAATTCGGGTAACACCCAATTGGGTAAAAAATGCCCTGTCCCGTGCAAGCAGCTTTTCGCCGGTAATCGACTGTTGCACAAATTTTGGTCGATGTTCCGACAAAAACAGTGAATCCAACCATTCGGCTACATCGTCAGTTGTCCATTCGCTTACCTCCTTCCCATTAAATCCACTGACTGTGATTTGTGAATTATTTTGAGATACTGAAATAAAATTATGGTCACTTCACTATCACCAAGCTCCCAATTTAACCATTTATCGTCATTCGCACTCATCCCCATAACTCCATTATTTCCAAAACATAACAACAACAATAACAACAAAAAAATTCCCAACTGATCTAACAGATGATTTTCTTTATCATTCATACCCCTTTCCCTCTGTTGTTGTTGTTGTTGTTATTGTCATTACTGTTGCCGTTTAAGAGATAAAATGTCAAGCATACTTTACCCTATGCAAACATTCCATTTTTACAGGCTTTCATGGTCTTCACAACATTCGCAATAATGCAAACATTTGAAATAATAGGAAAAAAATAGGTGTTAAATTCGCGCAACAGAATTTCTGTTAAAAGAAGAGCAGTAAATATGCAAAAATACATGAATGTATAGATATAAGGTTGCTCAGTACTGATAACAGAATCCTCACGTTCTTACCCTGCGCATTCCGGGAATCATTGTCGGAATCTCCAGTACCACTGTCCGGTTCATCATCGTAATCAATCGGTGGTGTACGAGACGACTTTGTGAATGCGTTGACCACATTACGATCCGAACAACCGCTTAGGGTTGACAACGACGATGCTACGCTCATCTATCCAAGAAGAAAATAAAGCAATAGAACAGTTAAGAAGAGAACCCTACACCAAACAGGCAGAAAAAAAGAGCAATGCAAAATAGAGTTTTGCAGTAGCCTCCAGTGCTAACATTCGAAAAAAAAAAAAAAAAAAAAAA